AGTTGTAGGAAGTTTCAGAACCGTAAAGGTAAAAATTAGTTCTTAACCGAAAATTTTATGGTTAATCGGATGAAACTGCCGTCATTTTATCACAATTTTACATGGTACAATAATAATTATAAAATAGTGTGGCAAGTTTCATTCATAGGTAATAAAACCACAGAAAAAAAACTTCTCGAAGGAATACGGTTCATCTAACGTAAGTGGAAGAAAATTTTTTTTCCAAATGAAAATAATTTTAATTCTTATTTATTTCTCAGCTATCGAATATATCATTTTTAAATAAGTCGAAAACAACAATTGGCAAGAAAAATGAATTAAAGGAATTTCCTAGGAAATTAAAACAACTGCAGTTGGAGCAAAACCCAGTTTGATATTTATTTAGAACTGTTTAAATATCACAATCATATTTTATTTATGCAATTAAATTTACATGTTACACATATATACTACTACAAACAATAGCATGCAAATTTTTTAATAAAATACTGTTAAATATGAACATTCAAACCTACTTTTAAATAATTTCATAATTAAATTTTCATTTTCTATGGAAAATTAAAATAAATACTCGGAAAATAGTTTGTTAAAAAAAAAAAATAGATGTAAAAAAAAACTTTTGACCTTTTAGCATTACATTAAATTTTAATTTGATAAATTTTAAATATTGTTATTAGACTTATTTCAAAATAATTTTATTGACCATTTCAAGTTTCGCCCAGTTTCTCTGATTTTGACTAGTTTCGTCCAGTATCTTAGAAGAAATCGATTTCTTCTGTGCAAAATTTCAACCCAGATATAAGAATTTAACTCGAAGTCAAGATTGTATGCTTAAATGCGCATGAGTTTTAAAAAAGGTTATTTAAAGTAATATTTCTATATTTTTTAACAATTATTTAAATAATTAGTTACTTGAAGAGGAAAATAAAAATAAAAAACGTTGTTTGAAACATTACGAGTAAACGCTTGTTTTGTTGACATCACACGGCTGACTTTTATACACCTAAAACATTTAAAAAAATTTACCTTTAGACCGTGAAAAAGAATCTAAAGATAAGTTTAGACCTATCATGACCATAAAAATTCCTCGTAAAATACATGACCACTGAACGTAAATTCATGTAATATTCCTATAAATTATCTTTAGTTCGGGTATTGAAATTTTTTTAGACTATTTGTTTGACGAATCTAGGCGAAATAGCGAAGTATTGCCATATGTCTAGGAATAAGATAGTTTGTTGATGAGCAATTTAGAGATGTTCCATGGTACTGGCTGGACCTTATGTTGTGACCATAATAGAAAAGGATGTACTCCTCGAATTGGAAGCCTTTTATAATAATCGTAATGGTTAACTCTGCTACTTTTGTTCAATACAAATGTGGTCTTTTATCTCAAAGAAGGGCTCTATGAACTTACGGACACACATTTTGCTGAAGATAGTTACAACTACAGGTACTTTTCTCAAAGAATTAGCGTCTCCGAATTATAAGGAAATGTATTAAATCGGGATAAGGAATGATGCAATTGCTGGAGATAAATGGTAATTACTCAAAGCTTTTTATAGAGCCGTTGTGGCTTAGGGAATAGAGCACTCCCACTGAGGTGATCCAGGTCGCATAGACTACAGAGAGGTATCCTGAGTGGTAGGCGGATCATAGTTAAGCCATCATGGGAGGATTTTGTGCTCTCCATGTAACACAACGAAGATGAATTTCCTCTAATATTTGATTCAGGAGATTGAATTGCAGGAATGTGGAGTTGAACATAAGTAAGTAGTTGTTAACCGTAGTCTTATTTGGTAGTCGCAGACTGATCGCCTGTTCAACGAAGGTTATAAAAAAAATTAAAATGATTTTTATAATAAGACCCAAAAATAACAAATCATGTATAATAAGGTCTAACAGTTTAATAAATTTTGCCTTGTTCTAGTTAATGTCTACTTTTTGGAGAGTATTAAAGCTCATCCAATTAAAAAATAAATAAATCAGATTGGAAAATTAAAAATGTTACATTTATGTGTCATTAGTTAGATAATTTTGATTTTTCATTCTGTTATAGTAGGAGTGCATAGAAGAAAAAAAAATATATGCCCCTAAGATAAAAAGTACTAGCGTTCATCCACTTTTTCGCATACGAACATACCCTATCCTACAATAATGGAAGAGAAACTTTCAGTTTTCGACATTTTTCAAATTTCTCAAGAAATACTCGGAGAATTATTTCGTAACTTAAGAGTTGTTTATTTCAGGCGAATTTTCATACATAGCAATAAAGTTAAAAGCTTTCAAAGGATTGCGACAATATATTACAAAATAAAACCAGTTTTTTTGAACACCCTATGCCATGAAATCAAGCAATGAGCTTGTAACTTGTATTGATTACTTTGGTTTTAATTTGCAATAACTGCATAAAATTTCGTAAACCTAGATTAAATATTTATAAAGATATGGGCATTTTTACAAAAAACTAATTCGTTTGTCTTACGTATTTTTGCGATAACTTAAAAAATATTCTGTAAAATTAAACAAACTTTTTGGAGTAATTTAAAATTTAAAAAAAAAATATTTTGAAATTTGAAAAATCACTAAAAACAGCTCGAGATATGAGAAATTAAAATATTTCTTTTATACTGCGCATGGGTAGATAAAATTAAAAATTTTTTCTTCATAATTTTGCTGTGAATCATATTAGGCAACTAATGAAAAAAGTCTTATTTGTATATCTCAAAAATTTAAGAAGTTTTAATCAATTTTCTAAGTGGTTTTTGTACGTTTTAAAAGAAAGTTCAAAACCATAGAGGGTTTTCCAGAAATGTCATTTTGTTTTTGCTGTCCGGTTATAAGGCAATGTCATTTGCAATACTACAAAATGAAATTTGTTGAAAACCCCATATCAACTTAAAGTTATACGTTTATTACTTGATTTTCTGCCATAGGGTGTTAAAAAAGACTTGTGTTCTTTCGTAATTTACTGTCAGTCCAAAGTTTTAAACTTTATCGTTAATTCGATAAATCGCATGAACTAAATAACTCTAGTAGCAAAATAATCCTCTGAGTATTTCAGGAGAAATTTAAAAAAATGTCAAAACTGAAAGTGTCTCTTCCATTATTTTAGGTATACGTGTAATTCTTCAATAGAAAAATAATAATAAAATATTTGCTTCATTTAGCTATTGAAGTTTAAGCATAGGTTTTAATGCCAAACGTTTTTTTTCTTCTATGTCATTGAAAAAATTTCAAACAATTGCGTACTAAGATTGAAGCATTTGATAACGCAGCATTAACTTCCTTTTTTTTGTTGCTAATTTTATTATTGTTGTAGTTGTTGCAGTTCATTTACGTCGCACTAGAGCTGCACAATGGGCTATTGGCGACAGTCTGGGAAACATCCCCGAGGATGATCCAAAGACATGCCATCACAATTCTGATTCCCCGCTTCGGAAGCCCAACGACCTGCACGCTAAGTCGAGCACTTTACGGTAGCACAGTTTAACGAGGACCGATACCGCACACTCTCGGTCCCTACGCAGACTGATCCAAGTGGTCACCCACCCGCTCACTGACCGCAGCCAGTGATGCTTGACTTCGGTGATCTGCTGGGAACCGTGTTTTAACGATCAGTCCACTGCGGGATCTATTTTTTTTTTATTTTTAATGCTATTAAAATATTTATTTCAGTTTATTTTACCTGCAAAACACACACTACAGAAGAAAAAAAGTTCAATAACAGTTGTATACAATGGGAAAAAAGGATAAATTTTTAAAAGCATTAAAAGTTTATCTAGGCAAATTAAAAATATCAGCGTCACTGAAAAAAACCTCTTTTTTTTTACATAAATTAAAAAATGGACTTACAAGTCGCTTCAATCCGTAAGTTGGGACTTTTTTTTTAAAAAAAAAAAAAACTGATTCTTATCAGAAAAATAATAAACTAGACAAATCTCTACAATGATGAACAACAAAAATATTTGGCCAAGTTGTAATAGAAACATAGTACTTAGCTATAAAGAAAATCATTTTTTAATGCGATGCTTTTTATTAATACATCGTTAACCAGCTACGAGTTAAGTCGTGTTTTCATGGCCGGTTGCTGACCGGCCTCGAATAATCTCGTGATGGGTTTTTTTTCTCTCAGAGCGCTGTAAGAGATCACACAGTGCAATTGTTAATCTGCATACATCAATCTGTGTCTCTCGCTTCTAAGACCCCTCAAGTTGCGTACTTTGCTGTAAAAAAAATTTCAACGATGACGAAGAATCTTTCAGTGAATTCTACACGGATTTTTTATTTGACCGTCTAAGTGATTTTGAATCAAATTGTTATGATTTGGAAAACAATACTGTATCAAGTCGAGAGATCTGACATTACGCCACCAAAATAACAATTAAAAAAAAAAATGGAAAAAAAAGCTAGAAAAAAAGAAAAAAAAGAAGGAATACAATAGTGAGAACTAATTAGAAGAAGAGTGGAACGAGCGTCATATCACACCAAACTTAGAGAATTATTCCTGTTCCAACTATTTATGAGCTTGGTGATGCGTCGACTTAGTAGTTTTTTTTAGTTTCGTCGTTACACAAACAAATTTGTACCACTCTCAAGTGAAAGAGTTACATAAAATATCTGCAAAAACGGTATCATGGACAGAAGTTACCACTAATGAAATAAGGAAGTTTCTTGGATTATTGATATTAATAGGCCAAACCAGGAAATCATATTGGATTAAAAAAAATAGTAAAAAAATTAAGTAAAAGAATCATCAATAAATATCACTAAAAGTAAAATGAAGGATTTTCAAGATTTGTGAAATGTTTGGTTTCACGTTTCATGAAACCGAGTTTATGACGAGCTTTGGAAATCAGATTGGTTCATTTTATTCTATATCTATCATTCATCAAAATACACTAAATGAAAATTATCCCGTCAGTATAATAAAAATATTCAATTGTGATAATTTGAGTAAAATCGTGTAAAACTAACTAAAAAACTCACAGGCAAAATACAAAATATTTTTGGCATCGTTGGCAAGATATTTTGGCGACATTTTGTATCGGCAAACCTTGCGCGGAATAAGAGAAAAGCGAGCTTCAAATCGTTAAAATGCATCGTATGTTTGAGTGTCTCATGTTTATCGTTACTTAGACAATTTTTCTCGCACCACGTGGAAAATCTATTTCTTATGTTGAATACAAGCTTTTTTAAGAACACATTTTGAAAGTTATGAATAAAAACACAGAATGACCAGCAACGCAATTCGAAGTATTCGGCGAAAGAAGTCCTCCTTATCCGAAGTCAAAATTGTAGTTTTGGGAGCGCCGGGAGTTGGAAAAAGTGGTAAGTCATCTACTCTTAAGCTACCTGAGCTTAAATGATGACATAAAAAATTTTTTTACACATATAGATTAGACAAATTTCCTAAATGTGATAAAGTATTTCAGAAATAAAAAAAAGAAAACCCATTTATCTTTTTTAATGTTTTCAGTGATTATATGAAAAATGATATATTTTGCGCATCTTTATAACGTTTCTTTATGTTTTAGATATGGAACAAAAAATCTCTTGAATCAAAACCATAAATTTGTCTAAAAGATAATTTGAGTTTTTTACCTGATCTGAATTTTTCGCTTTGTTAAGACATGAAATTTGTGTCCAATATATTGCAGAAAATTTAAATTTGTACGGCAGTTGCTAAATGAATGTTTTAAGAGGATAAAATAAATCATGGCTATAAAAACTTTAAAAAGTAAATATTTTTTTAAAAGAAATTTATTTGAATATCTACACAATGTACAAATTTTGTATTGAAATAATTCAAATTTTATAAGCGAAAAAGAGTAGAAACCTACTATAAAATTATTTTTACACACCCGAGCATTCTACCATGCGAAGAGAAATAAGTTCTGTTAATTTGCTAATAATATACCCTTTAAGAAGATTTATTTATTTCTATACTCTAACCGTGCATTTGTTTACATAATGCATACTTATAAAATTAAAATAACGTTAACCACGTCATTTTCTGCCTGGTATTGACAATATTATCGACGAATTTCGTATATATATATATGAAAAATATCCTTTTTTAAAAAAATAATTAGTTAATAATTATCTATCTTTAAAACAGCTCGCTATGAGCTTAATTTATTTCTAAATACTCTTATCATGAATTAGTTCACAGAATGCATACTTAAAAAATAATTTTTTTTATGTCAACTCTGCCAGGTATTTGCAATGTTAATTTCTTTGGTTAAAACTTAGCGTATGAATTAACATTTTTTCATATAATTCGTTTATCAATCTTTAAAAATACTCGTTTTTATATCTAACTATGCATTAGTCTACAGGGTGTATACTGGAAAATGAATAATTTTATGTCTTTTCCTGATATTTACCCTATTATCTAATTCTTATTTAATGGATTTCTTTTTTCATAAAAAAATATTCAATTGTGGCACTTGATAATATAATTTATCTTTAAGAAAACTAGTTATTTCTTATAACTAATTCTTACAACTCAAATGACGCATTAGCTTACGAAATGCAAATTTTAAAAAAAGATATTTAAAAATTTTGTTTAATAGTAAATCAAGAAATAGTCACTCTAGCCGCTTTACTTTGATGTCGACTTGATGTGACTCTATTTATTCCCTTATTTAAAAGCGTAACGCCAGTAAGAATTAGGATATTTTTTGAATGTGAATAATAAATTTTGATAGAGATTTTAATTTTTTTTATCTTTGAAATATTTCAAACAATAGCTATTAAAATTTATTTAGTATAGAAATTCTTGCATATAAAATATATTTAATTGATTTGTACCTCTTTGTACGAATAACAATGAAGCATTACATATATTTATTTCATTAAAATCTAGAGCTCTTAAAAATTTATATGTATAAATGGATTAACAGAAAGTACATTTTTAGTGTTTAAAAATATTTAAAAATTTATTGGATTGTAGCGAAGCACGAAGTTCTGGGAAAAGATTAAAATACATTATTTGAAATAATTTCTCTGAATTTTCTCAACAATTTTTTTTTTTCTTGAATCGCTTAGAATTTCTTTAAATTCTTATATATCTTAACCTTAGAAAAGTAGTTTCCTTTAAAATCAGTAGAATATTCGTATTCAAAAATTGTTTCACCCTGTATATTTAATAGAACATTTGATAAATTTTTATTTAATAAAATAATGAATAAAAAATTTATAAAATTTTAATAAAATAATAAATTGTAATAAAAATTTTTTAAAGTCGACAATACGTCTGAAAGTGATAAAATCAGTATTTAAATTCTCTTTAAATGTACAATAATTATAACATATTTCTTAACACAAATTAATTGATAAAATAAAAATTATCTCTTTGAAACCGTTCTATAATTTATGTACAGTGCGCAAAAAAATAAAATGGACCACCCTAAATAACTTTTATTCTAATGATCAGATCTTTGCGTTTAAAGATTCATGAATGGTTATAGGGGGTGACCCTCAAATATGCTAATTAATCAGTGCAGATGATATTTTAAGTTCAGACACAAAAACGAACTTTCTCTGAATAAACATACCTTTTTTTTCCGACGAAATCGGGTTTCTGTCCCCCAAAATAAAGGTGGTAGCCGCAATCTGGGAAATATGGCCCCCATAGTTTAATCAGGAGAGAGAGGACCTTTTAATGTTAATTTTACTTTTTGCGTATTTCGTCATGTCTCAAGAACTTTTTAAGCGAATTGAAACATTTTTGCACACATTTATAAAATTCGTTTATCCGAAGATAATTTTATGCGAAATAAATAAATTAAAATTTTAATATTTATTATTTTTTATTTTGTTTAATATTAGTCGGGAAAAATTTGATTCGTATGGTATAAAATTTTTTGCATCATTTTAAAGTACGTAATTTTTTCATGGCAAAATCCAAAATTTGAGCAAAAATCGGCAACCTGCAACTTGTATTTTGCTGCTCTCAAATTTTGAATTTTGCCATGCATAATTACATATTTTAAAATGATGTAAAAAATTATGTACTTCACTCTTCAAAATGTTTTCGACTATTAGTAGATAAAATACTAAATACATACGAAAATTTATTTTTTTCTGCATAGAATTATCTTCGGATAAACGAATTTTTTAAGTGTGAGCAAAAATGTTTCAATTCGCTTAAAAAGTTCTCGCGACATGGCGAAATAAGCAAAAATTAAAATTAAGGGCTCGAAACTTTGAACCCCTCCCCTGATTTAACTATTGCGACCGTATTTTCCAAATTGTATTATAGGGGTCAGAAATCTGAATCCGTCGAAAAAGGTATGTTTTTTTCTAAGGAGAGTACGTTTTTGTGCCTGATTTCCTAACTTAAAATATTGTCTGTACTAATTAACATATGAGGTCCCCCCCTTGACCCATTAACATGAAGATCCGATCATTAGATTTAAAGTTATTTGGAGTGGTCCGTTTTTTTTATTTTGCTTGCTGTACATAGACAATCTGAAAGACACACCTGTTAGTCTAGAAGTTACTTGTCGTATGCTCTGTAGATTCATAAAAATTAAACTCCTTGGTCTGTATTTCGTTTTTTAACAATCATTTTTTAAGCGTAACGAAATTACTCAATTTTGACGAAACGCTAACTTGTCGAAACCATTCTGTGTGGTCTCAGAACCCACAGTAACATGGTTCCTTGAAGATCACCGAAGTCCAACAATAAAAGAAAAATGTCAGTAACACTGTAATCAGCGTGCGAAGACACCGATGATTTCGGTCCTCGTTAAACTCTTGTAACCGTAAAGTGCTCGTAAAGTATAGTTCGTTCACCAGGAGTTGAGACTTGGCTCCACCTCCTCGGACGCAGAGTTCATTTCAGCGCGGGAGTTAGAAGAGAAACATCTCCGTTGTTGAAATTGAGACAACCCTTAATTTGCGCCAAACACAAAAAGTGAATTCTTTTTCAGTCACTTACTTTGCTTTGTCATTTGCTATTATACCTTTTGTTACACTAGCTAATTAAATATAGTTTAAATTTAAAAACTGCTGTTCTCCCAGCGAAATGGCTCATAAAGGACAAATTATTCACTCAAAAGAAAGAAATATCATAAAAAATGGTGCAAAATATCATCAAATTTATGAAATATTTATTGTTAAGAAAATGCACATAAAGTTTGCGAAATAAATATTCTTGCCAAACAATCGCCAAATAGCAACATTGTTCAGGATTGCTCACAACCTTCTCCCTAAAATAGCGAAATAGTATCGTCGCATACCACGTGATGAAGGCGGAGCCAAGTGCCAACTCCTGGTGAACGAGCTATACGCAGGTCACCGATCTATCTACCAAAGCTGGGTAACCTTACTTTTTGCAGAGGATTAAAATTGTTTCCCGATTCTCGCCAATAGCTAATTGTGCAATTCTCGTGAAACTTACTACTATTACTACCTCTCCAGAGATGCGAACTGCTCCGGACGTGCCATAATAATTTAAAAAACGGTAAACAACTTCAAACTAAAATTGCCATGATTTGACTAATTTTGCATACTTTTTTAGTCCCGCAGTGGACTGATCGATAAGACACGGTTCCCAGCAGATCACCGAAGTCAAGCATCACTGGATAGCCAATAATTAAATTC